AAGCTGAGGGTCCAATGACTCTGGATTTGAATTCTGGTTTTTCTCACTTACTAACTGTATTGCTCCAGGACAAGTCATTTAATTTCTGTGAAGATTTAGGTTATTTATTTATTGCATAAATGTGGATTGAATTTGCTCTTCATATTGAGTAATATCATCAACATTTTTTATATGTTATTTTGAGACAAGGACTCTCAAAGACACTGAGTTGCCCAGGCTGGGATCAAACTGTAATGCTCTTGCCTCAGCCTCCCATGGTGCTGGGATTAAAAATCTTATCATCCTGTAAAAACTTCTAAATCTGAAGTAGAAAATTTCAAACTGATAGACTTTCCAGCAATATTTTCCCTGATACTGTTGGAGTATATCATACATGGAGGACCATGGTGAAATTTTACTTTTGGTTGAAGCACACGACTTCTTTTCTGCACTGGACATTTGGGATCCTGGGATGTTTAATCCAATGAGAAAAGTTAATTTGCTTCTCACTGGAAAGAATTTATAAACTGTAATATCCATAAGCCTCCATCATAAAGGACAGCAAACATTATCATTTTCAGTTTACACTTTTGAAGAGCTCTATTTACTTTGTCCACATTTCATAATAATGTGACTCTAAAGTGCTTGGGGACCATGTTGTCCAGAGTGAATGGAGATATGCTTGGTTGTTAGTGTTAAGTAGCAGAGTTACTAAATGTGCTTTACTGTTGTAGGAGTGTCAGTTTTGCAACAACCTTGAGATAAAAAAATGGTTGCATGGGGAATATATGCCAGTAGGACAGATTTCACATTAACTAAAGAGTCTGGCACGATTGCATTACTTGCTACAGAAAACAAAAGAAGCATCAGGTCTACTTGAGGGAGCAAGAAACCTGATTAGTCCAGCTTTATTTAACATTTTTTTGGTTTACTATTGTAAACCACCTAGTGAAAGAATTACTGTCAATCACCTAAGCTCGTTATATTAAAAAGAAAACAAAGACACACAAAATAAAGATTACTCCATGGTGATCTAAGGGATGGATCTGCAGATTTTCATTTTTTTTTTCTTGTCACCAAGAAGAGCCATGGGGAAGGCAGTTCACTCATTTTAGACAGACACTGAAAGAATTTGTTAAACGCTAATAGTGTTGATAGCAAAAAGAATAAAGTCTAAAGATCCTTTTTAATTAAAAAAAACACTAACTGCTCCTGAATAGAGATGGATAAGCTGACACCTCTATACTTCTGAATCATTCTTTTTTTAGTACTAAAATTCAGCTTATAAGAGAAGAACAATGTGATGTTTGATATTAGTTGTCCGCTTCACTGGATGAAGGACTCTAGAAACTGGGAAAGCTTTATTTGGGGTGTGTCTGTGAGGCTGTTTTCAGAGAGATCAGTATGTGAGTCTGAGTGGCCTGGGTGGGATGTTTCATATACGGCCACATTGGGAGAGGGGGCCCAGAGACAATAAAGAAAGGGAATGTGGCTATCTCCTGAGAATGAGATACAACACTCTTCTTACCCCCGGAAACCAGAAGTTCAGTTCTCCAACCTTTGCAACCTCAGACTTACACTAGTGGCTCCTGAATTTGCAGTCCTTTAGCCTTAGGCTTACACTATTATCTTGGCTGGCTGAGACCTCTGAACTTGGGCTTGGCTGTGTAACTGTATCCTATGATTCTTCAGCTTCCAGATGGTCTGTTCTGGAACTTCTGAGCCACTCTCCATCGTCATATGAATATATTCCACTAATAAATCATCTCGCATATATCCAGGCTTATAGTCATCTCTGTCTCTGTCTCTATTTCTATATCCATCTATCTATCTATTGGCTGAGTCTCTGTGGAACATCCAGACTAATAAATACAGTGTAACCAACCACCAAGTTCATGAGTGCTTCTACCTTTCCTGTATCCCCAAACTAATGAAGACCCTTCTCCATGGTCTCTTCAGTGTCTTCAGCTTCATACTCTGTACCAGTACAGGAGGAAGCTTTCCAGAATGTAGTGTTCCTAGGAGAGGAATCTAGAAAACAATGAACAAACTAGTCTAATCATATTATTAAAGTGAATTAAGGCTCATAGATAGAAATGCTTGCCCAAGGTCACATTTCCTAGGTATCCTATGAATATCATCTTCATCAGTAGCATCTGTGAACATTCTTTCTTGTCTAGGGAACTGTGATAACACAGAAATATATATATGAACTTTCTGTCAAAATTTGTTAAGCCAAACACTAGCAAAGACATAACTCTTCCAAGAGGCAATATGGCTTCCAATTTTACTGAAATGTGTTTCCCTTTAAATATTGGATGATACTATGTTAAATTTTAAATGGCTATGCACATACCAAATACTTTATGAAGAATGGAAACAGTAATTGATATGTATATTGGTGTCCGTAATTGCCTTGTGTGGGAAAAACCTAGATAACACTAAAAAATTTCTCTCTGTAGGTGATTTTTTTGTAATGAATACAAGTATTTTATTTTATTGTTTCTCAAGATTTTATTTCTAAAAATTCAATGCTATAGCAAAGTTGAAAGAATATTATAATGAAATCAAAATCCCCACCATCTAGATTTGACTATTAACACTTTTACTTTACTTACTTTATAATTCATCAGGTCATTTCCCCATCTTACCATTCACCCATTAATATACCATATGTTTTCTATCTATTTCAAAATAGGTGCAGATAACAGAGGATTTTGTATTTTGAGGGAGTATAATCAAGTAAATTCTTATTCCTAAAGATTAACTGAAATTTCTAAGTTAAATTTAGAAGAAACAAAACAAAACAAAGAACAAGCTTGCCTGGAATTGTGCACAGATACTCATCACTGTTCACTCTTTAAATCCTGGAAACAGTATGTAAGTTATTTCAATGTTCTGTTTAACCATATCAGCCCTATAGACATTTTCAGTACTTACCCAAATGCTTGGCTCTCTGAAGATGGGCAGCTAACTGTAGAGAAGTAAGTTCTTTGCTATGGATGATTAGGGAAAATTACTTGGAATGCTATTAGTAAATTTTTCCTTTGCTTTACACTCCAATATCTCCCTCCCAATTATTCCTTAACCATAGAAATACAGTGCTTTCTACATTGGACTCTGCTCATTAATAAAGTGAGGTTTTTTTTGTTTGTTTGTTTTTGTTTTTGTTTTGTTTTGTTTTTACTTATCTCACAGCAATGCCATGAAGTTCAAATGTAAAAAAAAAGACAATACTTTTTAAAACTATAGCACTTTACTCGTCTGTGATATCATCATCAGTACGCACAATGCATCTGTAAGAAAACACAGCTGAGGTAATGGCTCACATGACTACATGGATTTTAAGTCAGTCGGAAAGGATCCAAAGGTTAAAGGGACAGAGTATTGGCAGCTGCCTTCACTCTCCCTATCAGTCAGTCATCTTATCAAGGGTCTAGAAGTTGTTCAGTGTGTATCACATGGACTTGTTTTCATTAGTGAAGTGTTTGTTTTGGAATTCATCCCAGCTTTAAAACAGTGCTTCCATTAGCCGGGCAAGCACCTATAATTATCCATCTTATCTGACCGGTGCCAAATGATACCACTTACTGCATGCCATTTACCTTGATGGTGCTGAAAGAAGAAGAGCAAGGCAGTCACTCAGTACAGAGGAAGGTATGGAGAAGATTTATGGCTTTGAATGAACAGCTAGTAATGAACTTTGAATAAAAATTTCTGAAAATATCAAGTACATTAAATGATGGTAAAGCTCCATCCCTTTATATGGGGAAAGTTCTGCTACATGAATGTCTAAGCTTTGCAAATATAAAGTGGTATATTTTCCATCCTGTGCATAGAAAAACACAAATCATGAAAGTGAGGAGTAAGGCCAAAGCTAACTGGGATAGCAAGAAAACATTAAAGTAAGATAAATGGGAGGCAAGCTTATCATTAATTGCCATTAGTGAGAACCTGTTAGATCTTTGGCACTTTATGCTTAAATGGAATTGAAAAGAAAGATTGGAAGTCACCCTTGTCCTCAAAAAGCATCCATTCCAGGCTGGATGTGGTGGGGCACACCTGTAATTTCAGCATTTATGAGGCTGAGGCAGGAGGATTGCCTTGAGTTTTAGGCCAGCCTGGGCTACACAGTGAGCTCATGGCTGGCATAAACTATGTGGCAAGACCCTGTCTCAAAAAAACTATAAAAGAAAAAGAAAGCATTCAATCCACTAAAAGTCAGTGGGAGAAAAAAATCAGGAGATTAAAAAATTATAAATTGTAAATGGACTGTTTAGGGTATACAAAAAGAGAAAAAGAAGTATGGTATATAATTTGACAAGTTGTAATCAATGCATACATTGAGAAGCTTTACTACGCACACAAAATATGGCAATAAAAAACTTCTAAAGGGATATAAATGATCACTTACAACACCAAATCATGCTTTTCACTTGGGAAAAGGAGAATCAGAAAAGACTGGTTGTGCTGAATAAAGGAGAGTCCTCTTGGCCCACAGACTCTGCCTGAGTGTGCTGGAAGCTAGTAAACCTCTTAAACATGAGAGGGTTGCATCAAGCATTGTCCTTAGATGCCACTAATCACCACAGGCTTGAGTTTCCTAGGTTGGTTCTGTATTCATGCTGCAAGTTTCTAATCATATTTACTCTTTGGCTTTCTACATAACATACATACTGGGTGAAAAACAAAAAGTGGTCCAGAAGAGTCAAGCACTTGTGTGTCCAGCTTTTGAGACTTCTCATTGTAATTATAATAAATTAGAATGTGTTATCAGGTATATACGTTCATGTAATGAAGAAATATAAATGTATTCGATGTGTGTTTATAAAAGAAACACTGCTAAGTCTGAATTTATAGTAATGCAGATAGATACTTGGGTGAAAGTTTGTATGTGACACAATTTTACATTGCTCTACAACTCCACAAAGGTCCTTACTGTGTTATTTGATGATATCATTATTTCTTCTTTTCAGTTTACAAGTTTTGCTAAACTGCTGTTGGCTCCTGGCTTATCCTACCTGACTGCCCGGGGGGTGGGGCACCTGAGGATCCTCTCGGTAGACAAAGAAACACAGTCAGAACAGCAGCTCTGTTCCCAGCACACGGCTCGATGGCGATGGGCTTGGGAGCCCCCTGAAAAAGAAAACCCACTGTAAGTTTGTAAGCTGACAGGACATTGCTGTCTTACCTCCTGTTTGCTATCCTTCATTCCGCTAATCAGTACATTCCTAGGTGTTGGGGACGCACCATGGTGCCATGTTAACACTAACTCCTGGTGCAATCTTGATGTGGAATCAGCCTTCATGTGAATAAATGAAGGCATTTTGTTATGCATCCTGTGCAACTAGGGAGCCATTTTCTTGCTTCTTCCAAATTATTTCCTCCCATAAAAAATATGCCATGTAATCCTTTTTATCTAATTAAGTAACTACAATTCCAAATATTCTGTTGACATTTCTTTTTTTAATTTATTTTTTACGATCTGTATTTGAAGTGTAGAACATGACATACATAGTAAAATCATTACTACAATTAATCAAATTAGCATATTTATCACTCCACACAGTTACGTTTTTCCTTTTATGGTAAACCACTTATAATCTATACTTTATAAAATTTCAGCACATAGTGCTATAGTATCAACTTTCATGCCTTTCTATAATTAGCTCTCTAGACTTATTCATCTGCAAAACTGCAAGTTTCTGCACTTTGACTGGCTGCTCCCCATTCTTGCTCCCTCTCTTTTCTTGGTGACCACAAGTCTACTTTCTGCTTCTATCTAACTTTTTTCAAACTTCTATATAATATCTTTAATAACTTTTAAGAGAAATACATGTTTAATAATAACTATTATAAATAATATAGCAGAAATGAATTAATACATGATAATAATAACACTTATTAAGTAATTACTATGGATTAGGCATGAAAATTGTCATATATATTAACCTACTTAAATCTTACAATAGTGGGACAAAATAAGAATCTTGAAGCAAGACATTATAGAAACTTTGTTCAATTCAGATAGCTAGGAAAAACTAGCTGGCCTAGCATTTAGGCAAAAGTAGGCTACCTCCAGAGTCTGTGTTCTTCAGTACACAGTGAAGCTTATGATGTGTGTGCAAGTAAAAGGTGTACTCCACACATGAATATATAAACATGTCCGTTAGTATACATCTGTGTACACACACACACACAATCCACATGCATGCAAGCAAAATTGGTATGTAAAAACAACATGATATTTGAAACAGTGGAGTATCATGTACAGAAATAGTGGTTTTGGCTACAATATTCAAAGAATTATGCATGAGAAATGGTTGATGAAAGAAACATCTCTGCATAAAGTCAGAATTTAATAAAAGAAAATGCTACAGCTTTAATTGTTAGAGCAAACTATTTGTTCAGGTTTCTTTTTCCACTAGAGATATTCAAATTTTTCCAAAGAAATGTAGACATATGTTGTCATTCACCTAGAATATTCTAGAATATAGCTGTTGGCAGAAAGTTTAACGAGGTATTAAAGATAAAATATGTCCCCTTCACGTAAAACTTAGACTGAAATATCTGGTGACAATGGTTTTATGTGGTTATAAAGGATTTCTTCTTTATAGGAACATAAATCTCATGTTTTAAAACTATATTCATATAGATACATTTTGGAAATTTTCAGTATAAAGGTGAAAGTGGCCATGGTGGTGGAAACAAAGGGCATTAAAATGTTTCATGAAAATGCTACAGGCCATGCTGCACTGCTGTATCAAGTTTAGTTTCATACTTTAAGATTTACTCTTAAAAAAAATAAAAAAAAGATTTACTCCTAATTTAACAGATTTATTTTTGAAAATGTTAAGTCCAAATCAGCATAAGTACATAGACATTCTCCAATGATGTAATATTTAGAGAATAGGCTTGTCATATTTCATGGCTAAAAGTACTATGAATGTTTCCAATCGTATTTCTAGGCAAAGCTAAATTTTATTTTAATAACCACAAAATATATGTAAAAATCAATTTATTAAACTATATTAAGAGAATGTAACATGAATTCAAAGTTTAAGTCATAGTAATATATTAGAAATATCAAAATCCTTTTCACTATAGCTAAGAAATAAATGATTATATCTACAGACAGACAGGGTTTTTCTTTTGTTGTATTTTTATCTTTCAACTCTCAATGTAATAACTGACACTAAAAAAATCCAAATTTACATTGTAAACACTTGCTACAAAAATTACAATAGTAAATTTTAAGATTACCAAATTTAAAAATGTTGAGAAACAGTATTTCTTAGTTTAGAGGATTTAGGAAAACAATAAAAGATTTGGAAGTATATTAGTTGATCATGTTGGTTGGGCTTCCATTTTACTGTTTTTAATATAGCAGATATGGTTTTAAATATCAAATGCTCATATTTAAATATCAAAATATCACAGTGAGAAAATTAGCAAAATGTAACTGTAAATTTTTAGTGAAATATGGCTTAATTACTTAACACATTAGACTTCAGAACTTCAGTGACAAACAGGGACAGTGGTGTAGAATATCTGGACTGTAGGAAAGGAATTCTGCCTCCATGAATGCTATTTCTATAAAATTCTCATTATACTAATTATTTCACTTTTACCTTAGTGCTATTGTTTAGAAATGGGCAAAGCTGGCTGCATTCAGAAGTCTCTTTTATTGATAAACCATGCCAAAGGAGAGAATAAATCTTTTAAAATCAATTTAACTTAAAATTTGGTCTATTTTTAGCTATATAAGAATTTTCATGAAAGGATATGAACAAAAATATGAATTATTCATTATGCTCAAAGTATTAGTAACTAGCACAGCTCTTCAACACTTGAGGAACTCATAATTTTAAAAATTTACTTGCTAAGAAGTTGTGGCAAATATCATTTCCAATATAGAATCTAAATAAAAAAGGGACATTTGGTAGCACTTGAATTTTACAACAGCAAATAGCAAAATCCTACAAGTGACAGTATTTCTAATATCTTGAAGTTTGTCAGGTTTTTTGTGATAATTGCATAAATATGAATCAAAAATCATTCCATAGTAACATAACATGTTCACTGAACTGCAGTTTATCATGCATTTTCCATGGCTGCCTTTGAAAGAAATAAAGGGATTTGTTTGCCCCTAGCATCTGAGAACTGTGATTTACTTTGAGGCATTTTCATATTTGTTGTACTGCAAAGAGCTGGTGTTAGACTGCGCAGAAAACATAACTGACAGTTATATAGTTAGCAGTCCTTACTCATTAAGCACATAGCAGTTTTATAAAACACTTGTTCGGTTCACTTTAGTGGGCTTGATTGTTATTGTACACATTTTGAAGTTGTTCAAGAGGCAAAAAAATATTATGTTAAAATCTTTCTCTTTTTAAGTTATTAATGAAAAACACCAGAGAAACTTCTGGAGTCATAAGGATGATAGTTCTTAAAACCCATAATAATGTGTTCTGAAAGTAAGACTGCAGTTATCCCAAGACCTGTTCCAGAAATTGCTGAGACATGAGTCACTGCAGGTTTAGAAAACACAGATGGATTGGAGGCAATGTGAGACTATCCTCATAAGTGAAATAAATCAGACTCACATTGATAAATATCGTATTGTCTCTCTGCTATAAAGAATAATAATAAAAAACTGAAAGACTAGTAAGATCCAAAATGTATAATAGATGTTGTAATAATGAAAGGGAAAGAAAGTGCTCTAAAGGATATAACTGTATGTATATTTAAGCGTGCAAGATAGCTAACCATACTACTAAGTTTTTGTTAGTTCATCCAACAGAATAGTTTGTGCTATCATTGTTTGTCATTTTTTATGCTTTGATTTTGTGACTTGAACAACTACTTCTAACATAACAATATGTAATTTATTAACTAGTGATTTCTTACTTTTTTGACTAGTCATTTCTTACTGTTATTTTTTGAAGTTCTGTATTATTTTTACCCTTTTTTCTGTTTTACTTTTTTACTTTAAATAAAATAAAAAAAGTAAAAGAAAACACAGATGGGCAAAGCTGGCTGCATGTTTCTTCTTCAGTGGCCTCTCCAACGGCAAGCGAGCTATGTACTTTGGAAGTCACACTGAGGCTTGCCACAGGATACCCTACACCTAGCAGCTGAGGGTTTTACAGAACTATCTGCTACCCCCAGGCTAGCCATTCTAACTAAGCAAGGATTCAAAATTAAAAAGCCAAAAAAGATGTTATGTCCTTTCACATAAAACTATTTGAACTTTCAGCAGTTCCAAAGTAGGGCTTGCAAACATTTTGGAACTATGTATCCCAGTCTTTTGTTGTAGGTTCTGGTAACGTGTTGTATGTCCTTGATCCTTGAAGGCAGGCATTGTGTTAGCTGCTTCCTTGTCTTACCTATAGCCCTCCAAGAGTGCACTGCATATGGTAAGTGACAGGGTGAATGAATGAATAAATAAACTTGTCACAGATGCTGTTCAATGTAACTGGAAGACATGACAGTTTCTGTCTAAATTATGGATATTTAAAGGAACAACAGAACATTGTAAAATACTGACAGTTAACATATTGAATACTTATTTGATGCCAAGTACTAAGAATTGCGTATACATTATTGTGTGTAATTACATAGCAGTTATATTAAGGAAACCTATTTTCCATTATATACGATTGAAAAATTAAAATTCGGAGAAATCAGATGATATTCTCAGGTAACACAGGAATTGGAGCTCAGATCTTATTTTAAGTATTTAATTAGACAATATTACCTGAAAATATTATTTCAGAATCCAAGTAGACTCTCATTCTCTCAGCTTGGTTGTTGACAGAAGAAACCAACTTAGAAGTCCAGTTATAAAAATTATATACATAAACCTGCCCCACGCCTGAATTCTATTTCAAACACCAGTGAGGCTAACAGTCAGGTTTATCATGTGGTCCTGGGCATGTTATAAAATCAATTTCTCCAGAAAAGAGAACAAATAGGCAGGTTGGCTGATTTTTAGGGTCCCTTTCTCTCTAACAATCTGTGATTATAACTCATTGATATCCCCGTAGAATCTGTGATATACCAATTTCACTAATCATAGTTAAATTTAAGCAACTGTTTAAAAGAAAAGACAAACTTTGATGGTGAAAAGGGAC